CTGACTGACTGACTGAGACTGACTGACTGACTGACTGACTGACTGACTGACTGACAGACAGACAGACAGACAGACAGACAGACAGACAGACAGACAGACAGACAGTTCCGCGTGTGTGTAGTGTGGGCGGACGCAAATGGGGCAGGGGCAGAGGCAAAAGGGTGCGCCTGCGCCCGGTCATACTGCGGGCCCGTTCTGATAGGAAACAATGTCGACAGTCCGTTTAGCGAAAGAGTGGCTTTAATTGTTTCCAAGCAGGAGAGGTGAGTGGTAAATTTCCGAGCAGTCCTTTTACAGTGTCGCGCTGCCTACGATACTCCCAGCCCCAGCCAATGGGCTGCAGCCCCGTGGTCCGGTGTGCTCGTGTTCTGCTGGTCTGCGGTTCTTCGAAGACGCATCGACTGCGAAATATTAACCGAGCCCGCCAATGTCCATCCTGTTCCAGCTATGTGGATGCCAACACCCCACGGTTTGCCTACCGCCTGCCATCCATGACAGTGGCACCGTGCACGCGCCCCTACGTACGGGCCGAACGAGTAGGCAATTCCGCAGCACAGAAGTGCGCTACAGCGTAACTACATAAGTTAGACTGCGTTTTTTTCTGCCACCTGGGCCTGGGATATCTGAGGGGCTTGGAGTGTGGTGCTTCTCTGGAAATCCAAGTGTACAAATGTTGCACACGTGCAGGTGAGTGAGACGACAATTCATGCATGCAGGCTCGCCTGCAGATGTGCGACAAAAATTCCACACGCCTGTAGATGTGTGAATGAATTTTCACACACTTGGGGTGAGTTAATGGCTATCTTTCCAAGTGTATGAATTTTTATTCGCTTACCTTCAACTGTGTGAATTTTTCACACACCTGCAGGTGTGCAACATTTGTACACTTGGATTTCTAGTGTTACAACAACGGCAATTGAGCTCGGATGTGCAGGCGCCTTTGGGGTAGGCAACGAAAATCCTCGCCGTTCGCGCTGGTGGCCTACCCTCGACTCGTCAGGCGTCAAGAGAGATGGTCGTAGTGAGTTAACCCGAATTGCCAATCGGAAAATCATTGGAAAGAAAGGCACACAGAATGAGCGGCGCTATCTAATGCCTTTAAATGCATTAGTTGAATGGTGCCTCTCTACCACCTCCTAAAGGTCCATTGCCTTTACAAAAGACACAAGTGCAGTGGCAACTCTCAAATACCATTGCCAACCTAACTAGCTCTAGTCTAGGACTATAATGGTCGAGCAAGCCCTATTTAATTTATTTTAAAATTCTGGTCATGCAAAATTATTATTTTCTCTTTCATTGTAAGAAGTATTAAAATAAGCATACAGTCTCCAATATTCTTCCTGTGATGTACAAAATTGACTTTTTCACATTTGGTACTGCATTTTCGGGCCAGCATGAGCGTCGACATAAGGTCTCCGAGTTATAGCTTCAACTTTAGTTATACTGTAGCTAGGTACTCGACCAAAAAAAGGAATGCTCTTCGCGCGCTTTTATTTTTCCAGTGCAAACAGGAGAAATGAAGAGGGCGTCTGCATCTCCGTCCGTATCCTCTCCTCCCGTCGTGAGCAAGTCATCACTAAGCCGCCCACCCGGCATATTTGCCCAGACCCAGACGTGCCTCCGCCTCCTATCTGGCACGGTGCCGTCGCCCTCGCGATTGCCTGATCCTCACATACGGGTGTCGCCAAAGGCATGATCATGATCCGCAGCCCACGAACGCCATAGAGGGTCGAGGCTGTCGCCCTGTTTTGTAATAATTCCTCTTTGCCGAAGAACAGAGGTGTTGGGTTGTTGGGGCTGCAATAAAGAGGGAGCGCAACTTACTATAACAAAGGTCCATTTTAACGCGTGGGCCACCTACCAGCACCTCACGTCCTAGCCGCGTTCAGACCCAAGCCCGAGCCACCCTGCTTCGCGAGCCTTTACGAGACTCTCTTCTGGAGGAAGACAAATTCACTCCGCAGGGAAATCCCTGTGGCCACGCGGTGCGCGCCGCCGCCCCCGGATACGCCTCCAGCCGCC